TCCCTGTTTTATCTTGTTCCCATTCCCACTAAAGTCAATTAGACTGAATTCTCCTAATTTCTGTTCAAGATATTAACATATTCCCAAAAACTCAGGCACCTCAGTAGTTTTTTGACATTTAAGCTGGGGCTGGTAGAAGGCAAAAGAACTGGACACTAACAAAACATTACCCACCTGATTAATATTGGGTCAAAAAGAACATTTTTGGGCTCAGGTAAGCAAGACTTTTATTGCTGGACACATTCACCTTCTTTCTCTGTTAATATTCAAGTTTGGCCTCCAGCTCCATCTCTGTTCCATATTGCATATTTTTTTGTCATGTTAAGAAGTGAAAATTGCCCATTGCATGATGAAAATTAAGCATTTTTCTGTGAAGGTGAGTTTTCCAACCTACCAGCTCACAAATTTCTAGTGAAATGCTTCAGGAAACGAGCCCCTCTAAACTTATGTGTCCCTCTAGACTGAGATAAGTTGAACAATATTAGATGCATCTATACCTTGGGAATAGAGATCACTAAGTTCAACTCACAGAGAAATAGCCCCAAGGGACCTTGGGCTTATTCAGGCTAGCCAAAGGCCACAGCCAGCACTGCAAAAATTCCAAAATTTGACATATTTAAGCTATTAATTTGAATTGCCAAATAGTCTTTAGGCATACTGTTACAGAGCCCTGAAGTGGAATTGCTCATCAGTTAATTTTCCCCATCAGCTGCATTGACACATGTTCAAGAAAGGCAGGAATGTTGTGCTATTCCTGCAACACTTTATTACTTCTTCCCTCAGAAAATTTGGATTTGTATTTATTTTTAACAAAAGCATTACTTTTGTAATGGTCTTGGAAAATAAACAGAGCTGTTACAGCACTATTGATTCACATGTCAATGGCACATAAAACAATTGAGGGGCTTACCAAAATGTTATCATTACAAAACCCAAATGAGGGAAACTCATTTATTTTAATTACATATTTAGCAGTAACTGTGCACAAGCCATCAAAACCAGAGAGGGAAACTCCTAACGTTGCTTTCCTAATCCGTTTCTGAAATGTTATCTAAGTTTCAGCATTTGTTAACTAAGCACAAATTTGATAGCATTGAGGGGAAGCAATACACTCAAAAGAGATTACAGAGACAAGAATATGCTGATACTAAAGGCAGTGAAAAAATATTTTTTATGCCAAGAAAGAAAAAAAACTTGGGGTATGACCTGGAAATTTGAACACTTGAAGAACAAGGGTTCAGCGTTTTTTTGTTTTTCATTTTTGGCACAATCCATTCACTCCAATTTACTGCTCGTGTGTTTGGACACAGATCCAACTGTCTCCTGCATCCAAGGATAATGACCTAGGACTCCAGTGATTTAACAAACCTCAACTCTGTGCAGCCACTCAATCAGTGATGGGCTAATCCCTTAATGGCCATTTGTGTCTTTCCAGCGCATCCTAAGGAGTTCTGCAACGCTCCGGTTCTGCTGCACAGAATTACGTGCACTTCTTCCACCCTCGTTATCTTATCAGGTAGCTAATTCCCACAAATGATCATGCAGTTTCAAGTTTAAGATGAAATTGCAATTGAATCATAAATTTGTCACTCTCCAGACAGCTGCTAAGTCAGTAAAATCTTGATCAAGTGGGGATTAGTCACTGGACTGAACAATTAAGACCTGTGAGTGCATCTGGCCCTCTGTCAGAGACATGTTTATTGATAAAAAAAATAGTTTATGTAGAGGTTTAAAATGTTATTAATTCTGAAGTGGGGCATAATCCTTTATCTAGTATATTGTGACACATAGCCAACTATCCCACTAACATCTTGTTCTGCTTAATTGATTATTTAAACAGAATTAATCTTTTGAAATAATAATAATGGCTGTGAGCCTTGAATTACCAGGGCAGGATGCAATGAGAGACATCATTTACAAAAATTGTTTGCTTGACTTTTTTTTTTAATTGTAAAAGGAAACAGCCTTTCAGATCATTCCCTAGTTTCTATTAAAATGTTGAGATACACTAAGCAATATATTTCCTAAATAAAAAAAAAATCTGTTTGCTGCAGAGAAATGTCATAGATGTACATCTCTGAGCCTTATTTTGGAAAAAAACTGAGGCACAATGGGATACTGGAGTGCTATTTTGCACTGCTCATTACATAATGGAAACAAATAAAGGAGATAAGCACTTCCCTCAAGTTAGTGACTCCTGCCCAAAGTTTTCTGTAGTAGATACTTCTCCCATTGTATCCATGTTTTACCAGGATCTATTTTTGTAAGTTTACTGTAGGAAACATGAAATGTGACTCTTCCATGGCTTTATTTTAACATGGCTTTTATTTTTAACTTCATTTTAACTTTATTTTTTAACTTCAAGGCAGATTCTTAACCGCAAGTATCCGTGGGCTGAGATTCCGGTGACTTTTATAATTCACTTATAGAATTTTCATTGTGCTGTCAACCAGAACTCAACTTGCAGAACTAAAAGCCTCATTTCAGGCATCCTACAAAGACCAGCAGTTTTTGTTCATCTTTGTGCTGACTGAAACCTCAACTAGTAAATCAGAAGTAAGTGATTTAAGGTATGATTCACACATGAGTGTCTGCAGTCTTGTTACCTGACAGATTCAGTGCCTGCTAGGTGTGTAGTAGGAGCCCATTGACCAAACTCAACCAGCACCAGAAGTATCAGTTTTTCTGATTTATCTGGTGTAATGATAAAAAAAAACCAAAACAAAACAAAAAACCCCAGCATTCCTGTATCTGTAGATAAAAATGTGATTTGCTTGCCCTGGTGGAAATCTCCATGCTGTAATTTTTATTTTTTTTTTTTTAGGAAAATGATTCACTGGAATTGCACCAGAGAAAGGAGAAAATGGAATTTGCATTTTCTGCAGCCCAAGTGTTCTCATTCCATAGAAGAATTCTGAATACAAGACTTCTTTGTTAAGCAGATCTGTACCCTTCAATCCTTTTGCTTTTTTTTTCTCGAGATACTGAAACAAAACATTCAGTTTGGGGTTTGAGAGAAACATTTTGTTCAACTTGACGTAACCATTTTCATTTCTAAAAAACTGAAAAAACCCAGAAGATTAAATATAAATTTGGCCCAATTAATTTGAAATTTGGGATAGATACAAAGGATTGAAGGCCCATCTAAAAAATTAACTCATAACCCTAATTAACTTAGATATTTGCAATGTTTCAGAGTTCATAGCCATGTCAATACCACAACAATGCATTTATTTCACACCAGAAGCCAAGAGGAATTAATGTTATGGAGGAAATTAGTACCTCCTTATGGAAACTTATAGAATAGTGATATTTTTCCTCACACATTTACACTGAGCAGCACCAAATGCAGTATCATGTGCAAAAATCAATCATCATAATATTTAGCTATGTGAAGCGTTCACAGAGCTGGAAATAAAGGTTAAATAATAAAATTGATGATTTTGTCAGTGCACAGTTACATTCTGTGACTTACAAGCACTCTTTATTCACCACTTGTTATTTCATGACTGGTGCAGACCCTAAGTAAGGTGTAAAAATGAAGCCAAATGTGGTTGAAAAAGTTCTCAATGAACAGCTTAATCAGGCAGGTATTTATACCTGGTATTTATACCTGCAGTGTAAATATTAGCAATGGGACTTGGTGGGAAACTTCATGTCCAAATCAACTCAAGGGTCCCAGCCATCTCACTCTGCATTTCTGCAGCCCATCTCACTCTATAAAATCCTACACTTATGGATCACAGTCATTTTATTTTGCCCTTGCCTGTGGCTAATTAATGCAAATTAAATTTTATGCCAGTCACCTCAAGCAATCTGTGCAGTGTACAAAAGAGTCTCCAGTAGAAGGCAAAATTGCTTTCATCAGTTATTAACATTTTCAGTAAAGGTCAGCATTGATTAAAAAAATAAATTGATATAAAAGAGATTAAAAAATTCAATCACCATCATCTTTGATTTTAAAATATACTTGAAAAATACAGTTGAGTTACTTAAGTTTTGGGGTTTTTTTTTTGTTTTGTATATGTCTTAATAAAAATATTTAAAATCTAAAACAACAACCCTGCATCTAAAGATGGATCTCTACAAAAAGAGCCAGGAATGCACTATTTCCAGCAAATGGCCAAGTTAAACAATACAAATTGATAAAATATCCCCTGACTAAGAACAATCTTGTATTTTTCATGATTATTCACTACATTGCTTCTAAAGTGACTTCATGGTTTGGGACAGTTTGGGTCTGAAGATTAGCTCACCCCTATCTTCTAAAATTTAATACTCCTTCCAGGCAGAGAGGGGAGGTTAAAAAAAACCAACAAAGCAACAAAAAAATTAACAAAAAACCTGCTCTAGCTTTCTCTGTCACCTGAAATTTTATTCTACTTATATATCATTTACAAATCTTACCAAGTTAAAGGCAGAAACACATACCAGAGGTACTGGAATGCAGCTGAACTATAAAATACACAGAATATAATTATAGAATATAGAAAATATACAGAATATAATAACACAGACCTTCCTATAGTCTTGCTGTCAATGTGACAGAACATCCACTAGCAGTCTTCTCACGTGGAATAACTAGGACACTAAATTTGGAATAACCATTGAGTTTTGAATCTAACCCAGCAATTTTTCTCCTCAGGTAAAAGTCTTATGTATATTAACTTCATGAATATGGGGCATTTCTAAGTAGTTTTTGTTCCATATAGGACCCAGTTTCAATCAATACTCCAGAGCTATTAGTAATTACATTGCACAAGTGTCTATTAAGTAAAACATTTCAAGATGTAAACCCTTAAAAAGAACAGGATATGTTTGACTGAGGCTATCCCTCAAAAACTGGTTTCAGTCACACAATTTTTTATATGATTTTGGGTATCCAGTCCATACAAAACTTTTCATAATCTAATCAATCAGAATAAAATGGCACACCAAAGGAAGGAAGGTGAAGTCTAGAGGCTCTTCACTAAGAAAACTTTCTTTATTTCTTTGAGATTATTTCATGCTGAGTTTCAGTTCTCTCTGAAGTGTACAAGAAAATGTTTGTCCCCTAGGCAAAATTCACCTGTGAGGTTTTAAATGTTATGGCTCTACAGCAATCATCACTGAATAGCTGAATAACGTTGCCAAAATATCAGCCACTCAGTGTTTGTCATTGTGGATCTGGAATCTTCTCCTTTTAGCAGACTGCCTTTCATTTAGGCCAAGCTCATGATAAAATATTTGGCTGGAGGACCAGTGGTTGATGTGAAGGGAGCCTGGGATGATGTTTCAGCTCCTAGTGGCTGCATTCTCCACATGTGAATTCTCCATATTCTCTGCATGCAGGCACAAAGAACAAAAAACAAAGAGTGGGAGGGCAGGAAAAGCAATTTCTTACCTCAACTTCTAGGACTCTCCAACATGGATCTGAAGTACCATGCCTGGAGTGAAAAATACCTGGCTACTGCCTATTCTCTGTGCTGTGTAGCTAAAAGAATGCTCACTTGGGGCAGGAGTATTTCCCATCAGTGCACTCATCCATTTTTTGCCTTTAATAGTTCATGATTTGTTAAAGAGACAGTGGAAATTTATTCAGTGTTTGATTCAGCTTTAGGAAAAACGGGTAAGTTCTGAATGATTTGTGTGTCACACCTGTGTGGGGTAGATGAGAACTAAAGGGTTAAAAAGCAGCCATCAAGCAGCACAGAGAGTAGCAAACACACTGGACACAAACAGGTGATAAAAGGCGATAAGGGAGATGAAAAAATTAAGAAAATAAAGAACACTGTTATAAAGATTTATAGATCAGCTAAAGCAGAGCAAAATAAATGATAACAAACACAGATAAAAAATAAATGGGGCATCAGCCATATAAACAGGCAGGGAACTTCAATGCTTCTGTATAGTACTATGACACTGCTTTGTTTACACCAGCATTGACCTTTTGCTCCCAAAGAAGTTTATTAACCATCTTGGTCTTTCTTTGTGTTGCTTTACTCATCAAGAGAAAGTTGTACTGGGTTGATTCTGATGAATGACTTTTTCAGAAAGTCAAGTTATCCTTGACTAGATGCAGATGGCCTAGTAAAAAATGAATGCTGCCAGCAGACATTGTCTTTATCAGTGGTAAAAGTTCAGCAGGGACTAGACTTCCTCATCTCTGGCCAGAGAAACCCAGCCTTCTGTTTCAGCACCATATCACATATTGTCCTAATGAATTCTTGTAACACACTGCAGCCCAGATAAATATGCTTATATTAATGTTTTTTGGCAGTCTGGGGCATGGTACAGAATTGACACAAGTGTTTGGATTCTGCCTGCAGCAGACACTAGGAATTTATACAGCTCAGAAATATTGGACTGTTGTTAGGTTGTTTGTCCCGTGCCATGACCTTCAGTGTTGCAAAGCTTCCCAGGCTGGATTCACAGGAGGGGAGCCTGGAGCAGGGCATGCTGCAGTCCTGCAGCTCAGGGCTGGGGAGGGAGCAGCTCTCTCAGGGCTTCATGCACTCCACAGCCACACCAGTGCCTTCTCACCTTTCCCTGATTCTCACTAATTTTTCCTTTTAATAGCAGAAGCACTCATCCCCATGGCTCTCAGGTGAGGAGCAGCGAGTGGTTTAGAGCACACACCCTTCAGAGCATGAAGCACCACCCTAGGTAACCTCAAGACTTGAAGAACACCCTAGGCCACCAGATTTTTGACATTTTTAAGTTGTCAGTAGCTACCCAGAGCCACAGGGGTAGGAGCTGTGCCTATAACGGCAGCACAACAGCACACATGGGCTCTGAACTACATTTGGAGTTGCATCACATAAGAGTCTCCAGCTCTGATTGCTGCTTTGTGAGGGCTGGAATTTTCTGTTGCAAGTTTGGAAACTCCTCCAGTGGCAGAGGGGGCTTGGTGGCCCCACATTTCTGGGAAGGCAGCTGTCCCAAGAGCAATCCCACTGGGATGGGTGTCTTGTGGCTGGGACCAAAGCACCCTCCTGCTCTGGCCAGGGCTCTGCTGGGCTGTGGTGATGGCCATAGAGCTGATAAAAACCCCTCTATTTGCCCTTACAGTGCACCTTTGCTGTGCAGCCACACCATAACTAACCTCAAAACCTCTCTGATGGAGTTAAAAATGTCAGAGATTTTCCTGGGAGGAAACATTAGGCAGATGAGATTATTGAACCAACAGAGCACGTGAACAGGTACAGGCCATTTCCCAAGAAATTCTGGGGTAGGGTTTTTCCAGGCAGTGAGGTTACTTCTTTTTGTTGGTATTTTTTTTTATTTTGTGGTTATGTTTTTCAGTGTTTCATTCAAATGAATGGGAGGTCTGGGCCATGACTCAGATGGGAATGAGCCATAGAAAGAAACAGCCTGAGAAAAAATACAGCTGTATTTCCCCCCTCCACTTCCATACTAAGGTGTCTCAGTGCCCTGTGTTTTCTTACAAATCCTTTGCATTCAAAGAGCTTTTTTTGATGCTGGGGAAGAACAGTTAGTTTATATTAGATTTATCCAGCCATTCAAGTCAGGGTGATCAGCCAGGTCCTGCTGTTATTGCTCAGCCTTGTTTTGCTGATTGGGATCTTGGTTCTGCCAGAGCTCATCAGAACATAACAAGTCTATTCATCATTAAAACAAGCAGTGATGCAATTTAATTATATTTATACCTATGGGATAGTTATTTAGCCATCAGGAACAGAAAAGTCCTGCCTGCAACAAGACTCTCTCATTCAAGATTTTCCATGCCTTTAAACATTTGTGGATTAAAGCTTTATCTGTGGCCTGCAGCCTCTTTGGGGCACAGTCTTCCTGCTACTCCATTCCTAGAGAACATAACCTCTGTATATTTTGCCTTTGCCTCATTTGAATCATATTCTAATCAACCCTTTTCTTTCCTATGTTAAAAGTAGACTTCCATGAAAAACAAAAAGAAAATAAAAGGGAAGTTTTCTTCCTGGGATTTTATTTTTTTTGGCATCTCTTTCTGTGCTTTGCATTGGCAACTTGCAACAAGACAAGGTGTTTGGGTAGGATTTCTTCAAAAAATCTGCTTTTCAGCAGGTTTCTCAGGGAATCTCACTAGTGAAACCAAGGGCAGCAATTGGGATCAGCACATCCTTTGGGAGCACACCCACTGCTGCCTGCCAGGCTCTGGCAGTTTCCCTCCACCCCTCACAGGACGCTGCCAGAGCCCTGGTAAACCTCCCTCAAAATGCCAAAAGCTGCTCTACATCTCTTCTGAACAACTGGGGCTCTGAGCACTCTCTGAGGCTATTGGCCCACCACTGTCCTCTGGGTTTATCTCAACTCTACCCCCAGTTTTGTCACTGTATCCTTCAATCCCCTCTCTCCCCATAAAAGTGTCTAGCTGTCTCTTAAACTCACTTTACCATTTGCTTCTTTGACCTCGCTTGGCAACTTATCCTTGTGTTTATTATTTGAGGTGGAATAGTTCTGGCTACATTCCTGGTTTTACTCTTAATTGTCTAATTTTTAGAATGGTGTCAGTGGGGTTGGGGTTTGGGTTTGGGCTTTTTTTAACTCATGGCTCTTGTGACCAGGTCTTCTGTTTCATTAGGCTCCCTTGTGTCATCAGCACTTCCAATAACTCAAAGAATCCTAATGAATCTTTTATGGGATCTTCCCAAATATTGCAGCTGGACTTTCTTATCCATTAGTGCCATTCTGAACTGCATGTACTGCTTTTAATTATGTTTTTGTTAATTGGAGGGCAGGGAGGGGAGTGAGGGTCTTCCCCAAGCAAGGAAAACCTCAATGATTTTCCCTACTAGTCCCAGGGGGAAGTTACAAACAGGGCTCAAGCAGAACTGAGCAGCAGAACTTTTCCATGTCCTCTGGTGCCACCTGTGCCTGCTGGTGGCCTTTGGGTGCCCACCTCATGTTAGGAGGAGGACCCAGGACCTTTCTGGAGCCTCTCAACCTGCTCCAGAGTTTTTTCTTGGGCTTTTAGACAAAGTGCAGCTTGCTTACCATGCTGGATTTGCTGTCAGGTCCCATGGATGACAAAAACAGGCTGCACACAACAGGCTTTCCTCAGAGCCTGTCTGGAGAGCGGAAAGGAGGAAGAAACACTGGTTTAGTGCACCTACCTGCATCTTCAGGAGCTGTTCCCAGCTCTGTAAGGTGGGTTGTTGGAGCAGTGAAATGGATCCTACTGACATCCTGGAGCAGATAGGCCTGGTTGGAATGGCTTCTGAAATGAACAACTTGCTTGACCCACCATGGAAAGAGAAGGAGAGAGCTGCTTCTTTACACATCCCCCCCTTCCCTTGCAGGAATCATCACCTGGCTGAAGGATGGGCTGCCTCCAGGTGGGTTTCCTAACTGAAGCACCCTCCTGTTAGGTCAGCACAGTCCATCCCCATGGAGACATGCACCTGAAGCAGATCATGTGGCTACAACCCAGGCAGGTTAACTCTCGTGCTTTCCTAAAGCAGACAGACACTTTGCTGGACTCACCTACCTCAAAAATAATCCTTCAAGTCAACTCTTGAATTACAGTTGACACCATCAGAGAGGGCAGAGATCACATTTCCTTTCCTGCTCAACATATTGTACCTCGTGAAGTGGCAAGAAGAAGAAGAAGTGTTATCTATATAATTAACATTCTGCATTTTGGGGGACTATAGAAGCCATGGGACAGGAGAGTGTGCCAATCCCACTAAGACATTAACCATCACCCAGAATTGTATCAGCCACTATTTCCAGTTTAAGAACAAGAGGCAGAGGCATAAAAGATTTGCCCAATTAATCATGGGATTGAAAATTTTCCAGAGAGCTGAGGATATTTGTGAGATGTAATAGAGTGCAGCCCCCTCATCTCTCATGTGGAGGTCAAGCTCACAGAAACTCGGCCTGCTGATCAATCTCTGCGTGTCCCAAAAAGAGGAATTGCATGCTGCAAGAGCCAGCTTCTGGGGGCTGCTTCTGAGAAATTCATGCACTAAAGCACTTCCATAAAGGTGGGTTACCTTGCTGACAGAATCCTGAAAACAGGGAAATGAAAGGCAGAGTCATGAAATGCCTCTCGTAACAAACACCGTAAAATAACTGGGAATAAAAATTTCAAAAATCCTGTAAACATTTACTGTTGTCCTCTCCGTGCTTGGCAGGTTTTGGGGTGTAATGATCATCAAACAGCAGAGTAGCAGTAAGTCTTTCACTGAAAAAGTGGTGACAGCAAAAGCAAAAGGACATGCTCTGTCACTCATCAACCCACCCTTGTAGCCATCTACTATTATTGTTATTCAGCACGTGATTCCCCAGGCAGCAAACCATGAATCAATATTCATCAATAGCTGTAGCTATTTACAGGTCACTGGAAGTCTGGCCTGTGCTGCAGTGGAGTTTTGGTTGTATTTCACAAAAGATAGTTTTATTTATGTTTGACTGATGCAGGCAAAACTGGAGGCTGATTTTTCTTTTTTTGGCTTTTAGTATAAACACTCGTGGCAGCTCTCTATTTTGGGTGCAGACTGAAAAACAGATTGTTTTGTAGCTGCTGAGAACTGCTGGGTAAATCAGAGGACATTGTTATTGCAGCTGAACTTTTCTTTCAAGAAAGCAGGAGGAGTTGCTTTATTTTTTAATTCTGTGCAGTTTTATGTACACCATTCGCTCCAAATATTTGATGTTTGCCACACTTGTTATGAGTTTCTCCAGAGAGATGCTGTCTTTTGGCAGCAGAAGATAAAGTTGACTGATACAAATGAGTCACAGTACCCCAACAGTAATTAACAGTGATGCAATACCCAGGCGAAAAAGAGGACTTGAAGAATTAACTGTTGAGTTTTCTTGACGATGCAGCTGCACTTTAAGAGAGAAAGCTCAACCCATCATAGAACTCCATTGTGTACATTAGAGAAAAAAGCTTGGCAAGATACATTAAAGATTTTTGCTAAAGAGATACAAATATTTTGCAAGGGCAAAGGGCACTGAGGCAGGCTGTACTTACTTCCAAAGAAAAGTAGGCAGTATGACAAAGAAACAGTAATATTTCTTTATCTTCGTTTTCACACTTCATCATCTATGAAAGACTGTCTTTTTCAACCTGCTGAACTGATTTAAGCCACCCCAACTCTAAATTAACTTTTACTTAAAAGTCAGTCTATGACATCCTAATCTAAGAAGTTATCTGTGCTTATGGTTTCAGCCCAGTTCTACAGAAGGCCAGTTCTTCTATTTATAAATGGGATTTTACTTGTTCTATAAAGTTCTTACACAAATCTCACGGGTCGAAAGAGAAGGAATGGTTGGGTAAGAAGACGAACGATTGAAGCAACTGCTTTATAGCACAATATGAAACTTGACACTGTTTTCTGCTGCCAGTATGATTCCCAAGTGAGATGGATAAATTGTGGTCAAGACCTGGACAGGTTAACTAGTGGTCATCAGTGCTGGTGGTACCTTTATATACAAAAAAAAAAAACTATTGGACAGGACATTTGAAATTTAATACCAGACATGAAACAAGACATCTGTTGGACTCTCATTTGTTTCTCTTTGAATGGGCTTTAATTGAAAGCTCAGTGAAAAATGAAGGTTACATTCTTAGTGTTATCAATAGTTTGTAACAGCAACAACATCAGAACAGTGATGCTTCTAATATTTATACATTTTCTAATTGGAGATGTCTAAGAGCAATACATTATCAGATATATATATACACACAATTTCAAGCAATTAAAAGTAAATAATAAATCCCTCCTCCCAAAACCCTGAAATAATATATTTCCTTACACTAATAATGTCTTTTTCACATATACTTGACAAAGAGTCTTTTTTAAGTTACTTATCTTAAGAGTAATCTGTTAATGGAGATCCTGGACCAGCCCCATTAGAAGTTCAGTTTTAAGTTTATACAGCTTGCTAGCCACATAACCAGTGTGGCTTTACATTGTAAACAAATCCCAAATGTCTACAATGATTGGAATTAGTTCTGTGTAAAGGAGAATTACACATCTCATGATAGAATAAATTTAAACCAATACATTAAAAAGAGAGAGAGAAAAAAGGAAAGAGCTAATTGACAAAAGAGTTTTAAGGGTTCAATTATACAATTCTTTAAAAACCAAGTTAACTTAATGGTAAGATTCTTATTTTCTGTACAGAGAAGCTCTGGTTCATCTGGCTTTAGCTGCTCTAGAAAGACAACCTTTAAAAAAAAGGTTTGACTCGTGAAATTCAAAAGAAGAGCTCCCAACTCTAAAAGTCTGCCCTTTGGCAGGACGAGTACAAAGGTTACCAGAAGCATCTCAGGTGACTGTTCCTTCGTTTTGTGAGGAAAGCTGTACTAGCATCCAGGAACCTCAGCATGTGCAGGGGTGATGTAGGTGCAGAGCTACCCTTCAACAGGGAGGAATCATCCTGCCAGCTGCAGGAATTAAAAAGGTACAGCCATTTGTACCTAGAAGAGTTCAAGTGAAAATAACACCAAAAAAAAAGCTGGAGACAGACATGAAAGCTAAGCACGGTAATCTCGAAACTGTGGCGATCTTGCCTGCTTCTGTACAAAACCACAAGTAAATATCTCTTGAACTTATTGACTAGGAACTCGTGTAGCTCCAAATGGAAGGCAAGGCTGAGCAGAATCCTACGGTTTAGTTAACTTGTGTCAAATAGGATGCGAAGACAGCTGCAGCTCTCTGACAGAGGTGATCGAGGATGGCTGAGAAAGTTTGCAGTAGCTTATAATGTCCCATCTGTTTTTTTCACTTGTTTGAACTGTCTAAAGGGCCAACTGCAGCTTAGTCATGTTCCTCTGGTGCATGTTGTGATGACGAACTAATTCATCAGACCTGGCAAATTTTTTTTGACAGCTGGGCCACCGGCAACTGAAAGGCTTTTCACCTGTTAACAAAACACCCTGTTATTAGCTGAGCATACAGCTCATCTGAGACACTGCTGTTTGTTTTCTTTCTGCAGGGCTGTGAGGAGCTGGAAGAGCCCCTGGCAGGAGGAAAGGCACCCTGGGCTGTCCTGAGAGGGCGTGGGAGAGCCCCCAGCTCCCGCTGGCATCAGCGCTCGGTGCTTTCCTACCTCTGCCTCAGCTGATGTTTAACAACAGCCTTTTTCAGGTGACACAGAACACTTTGCAGTGCTTCATTCCTGAGGACAGGCCCTTGCTGAACACCTTGTTGCCATCATTATGCTACTCTCAGCTCTCAAATGGCCAAGTTTCAAAGTTGCTCTGGCATTCACACAAGCTTCAGTCGCACCTCGGGCGGTGGTGCAGACATACTGTTAGTCACTCTGGAAACTGTCAGTGACTTTTTAGAGCTTGACCTCCAGTCAAGGGGAGGTTTTTCCAGCTAATTCAATGAGTTTTGGCTGAAGTTCTTTGAAACTGGTGAGTGTGGTAGAAACAACAGAGTTCAGCATGGAGTCTGCTGAGCCAGACTCAAAGTTTTCCACTACTATCTAAGTAAAGTGGATTCACATCCATGGGAGATGTCAAATGCTCAAAACAGCATTTTTCTAACATTTCCTTGGGCATGATATTCACTACAAATAACTCCAAGCAAAGCACATTCAAATTTAACAAGAAATGCCACCACTTTTTAACTGTTTAACCTGGCCTCTTGATTTGCTACAATGTTTAACTGGAATTTCAGGCTGCGTTTCTGATGCCGCAGGAATGCTGATGGAATGCTTTCATTAGCTCAGAGCAGTGCCCGGTGACTCATGCTTCTTCTTTCCATTTTCTTTTTTTTTTTTCCCCTCAAAACAAATGTAATATTTTAAAGTATGTTCAGCTCTGGGGCTGGGCTCTTCAGTGCTGTCTGCACACCTCATCCTCTCTAACACACTCCAGACACGCTGGGGTGGTACAACCTCACCCAGGCATCCTCTCTTCTTATTTACCTCACACTTGGGGCATTTCACAAACCAAATCCAAATTCAGACAAAAAAGGGTTTTGCATAAATGTGTATTTCTGTTTGCAAACTCCCATGTGAGGTATTTTAAGTGGGAGGGGGGTACCTGAAATCTACTTTATCCACTTAGCATAGATGCTGGCAAAAGCATCAATTATCTCCCATGAGTGCATAGAACAGTGTGGGAAAAAATTGGTCTGGTCAAAACCCACAGATTGCATAAACTGGTCTCTTTTCATCAGCATTAGCAAAACCATCCTGAGAACCCAGATGAGGTATCTATGACTGACCAGTTCCTCACAGAACTATCACCAGCAATCCTGGTTGTCCTCTCCCAGCAAGGGGGAAGCAATCTCTATTAGTTCTGTGCTGGGCATCAACTGCTTTGTACAGCTTCATGGTACAGATATCAGGAATCTCATTTCCA